GACAGAGAGGTTTCAGGTTACAGCTGCAGCTTCACACCTCGACGTGGAAGGGACAATGGAGGAGGTGACCCTTTGGAGAAGAGGCCAATGACATTCAAATGCACCAAGGAAGACACACCTCAAGAGGTTTCAAAGGGCCATGGCGGGGGAAAGACTGTTAGAATTTCTCCTGCAGCCGCGTTGATAAGTCACTTCAGACTTGCTCAGAGGATTCTCTATTTCGCAAAATATTCCACTGTTCGCTTAGTATTTCACTTTGTAATTGTAATCCCTATTACGTTGTTCAGTTATTAAATAACTTTTGATTTTTGAATTTAAACGAATTGACTCATTCGTGTCCTCGTTTCCGGCCGGGACGAGAACAAAGGATTGAGTCCTCCCTCGAGAGCTTCCGAAACCTTAACAGATGCTGCCAGCTCTGCTAAGAGTGATGGACACAGCAGAAGGAATTGGAGACCCGGCGATATGGTGAAGTAATAAAATGTCAAGGCGGCGCATCGGGAGGCCATGACTGTTTACTAAGGAAAGACAGAAGGTTGTGACACTGTGGACACTAACCTGTGGGTCACACACAAACACACATCTGGATCAACAACACACATGCAGCCGCACACATGTCCTCATCAATTTCTCTCGACGTTTGCCGTCGGAGGTCACTGTGATCACGCCATCACTGTACTCTGAAGGTGCCAGCACTTAGCCTTTGACCTGGGATTGAGCCGACGCTGAGCGTTTTGCAAAATCTGCTCCGTGACACCCGAAATCCCCCCTGCAGTGTGAGCCGGCTCTTCTCTCACACCGAGTCCCCGGCTTACTGTGACTTTGAGGTCGTTGCATAAGGCGGTCTGAGGCTAGAATATTCTTCACGCCCACTGAAGCATTTATACACTCTGTGAGCATATGTGAGCATTACCTAGTGAATCTGAAAGCGTGTGCCACGCACGCACAACAATGAAAAAGACAAACACACAAAAACACAGTTGACGGGTAATAACTAATCAAGGGGAGCTTATCATAAAAGACCAAGTTGCATGTTTCCGTGTGTTCTCCTACATTATTGTGCATGCGGTGTCGCAACAGCGGTGAACAGAGCCGAGCTGCTCGCGCAGCGTATTACTGAATATAATATAAGAATATCGAACGATGAAAGCGGAGCAGACTGGAAAGGAGTTCTGTGTGAAATGTCCCCTTCGATGGTGCGTCAAAGTGATTCAACTGATTCAATGTTCACAGTCTTTGTTGGGTTTTTTTCCTGGTTTTTAGTACGTCTGTCAATAGATTAAAAAAAATTAACTAATTAATCGCACATCTTGAAATTCATTGAACTTATTGGCGATTCATGAATATTGTTGTTGTTACAATGTTGTTTTTAGTGAATCTTTGTATTTCTTTTTCTAAATCTTAATAGTAATGAGTAATCACTTTAGAAAACGTGTATTTTAGACACTGTTCTTTAATTGTTAATGTTATTTTAAACACACAACTACACGTGGAAGAATTCCTCTGCACAGTTCTCCAGTGCAAAAAGCTCTGTGCATCTTAAGCTGATGAAACGTTAACTGACTGCAGCTAGCGGCCGTTTCGTTTTCGCAGTCAACTTCCGGTTTACTTCCGGGAGTAATCGCATAGATTAACACGTTTATGTTGTCAGCCCCAGTATTTAGATAACAGTTTGTGACAGATTAAAAACCTTACTGTCACAAACTAACATCCCGACCGGGAGCAAAGCACAAGAGGCCCGGGGTGCTCTTGTTTTTCTGCCTCAACGTGAACGCGGCTGCAGGATGAACATGGTTGTATATTTGGTTCCTATAGAAACATAAAGAAGCGTTACATTCCGCCGATCACAAGAGAAATAGTTCATTTTGTGGTACGAGCAGAGACACTCACATGAGTTCTCATGCATACATGAACAAACATTTGTGCCGAAGCTTCTTGCAACACAAAATGTGTGTGCTGTCAAGCTGGGTACTGGGCCTCCGAGGAAGGGACAGTTGGCACGCAGAATTTCAGGCAAAGCTCCAGACCAAGGTCTTCCTGCCGCCGTGCACACAGCTATAGAAACCACAAATATCCGCTACTGAATAAACAATTCATCGTTGCCTGAAATTGGAAACAAATAAAAAGTCATTTCTCGCTGATTTGAGCCTGATTATCCACGTTGTTTTTTTTGTCGTTGTCCTTCCAGTTCTCAGCATGCTGCGCAGGATGCGGTAAAGCATGCAGGCGAGGAGCACTCACAGCTTTAGGGTGGTTTTGACTGCACCACTGCTGGACACATGAAGGCAGATGTGCAAAAAAAGAGCCATCAAACACAAGTGTTTCCTTCTGCTCTATTTTCTATCTGGTATTCTTATTAAAGGCGGAAAGAAAACATGCTTCTTATTTGGTCCAAATAAGAATCACGCAAAACTGCTACATGCAGAATATATACATTTGTAGTGTCGTCATCATAAATGAAAGCCACATATAACAAATATGAAAGCAGATAAGGCTGGCTGACATTTTTAAATATGCACTCAAACTGAACTGCTATAATCCCCCTCCATCCCCCCTCTGCTCCTCCCCCACCCGGCAGCCAGACAGGCAGTACTCACCCACGACACATTTTTGTTCTTGGGCTCTTTTGACATAACTTGCAGACGAGGAGGTGAAGGGCCCGACTCCTGAAACGCTCAGCGTCCTCACACACACAGACACACACACAGACACACACAGATCCAAGTCCACCTTCAGCAGCACGCTGGGAGACGGACTTTTCATTTGACGTCCTCCACTGCTTCGCCCCCCCTGTGCCAACACCACTCACCAGATCTACATCTGCCTGGAGCGTCGCCCTCCAATCACACCCGGCTGAACATGATCCAAAACTGACTCACGGAGGAGGAGGAGGAGTGGGAGTGAGAGGAGGATACAAAGATAGGATGGCTCCAAAAGGGCCCTCCGCATGCAGAGATAGAACACTCAGAAAAGTTCCTTCAGTTTTTCACCTGGAACCTTCTCTTCCTGCCACTTCATAAAGGCTGTGTCCTATTTCAGCATCAAAACCCCTTTCTGGATATGCAACCGAACATCTGGCTGATGCCCCGCCAGGAGGCTGCGGCCAGCAAAACGGCCAATCCTGCCCTCCTAACATCTGGGAGAGGAGAGACGGATGGGAAAAGAGACGTGGAAAGGAGAGGGTGGAGATGGATGTGAGCATTAGGGAGATGGAGGGATGGGGATACATCAGAGCGCCGACAGGGTGAATGAGGATGGAGGAGGACAGAAGACTGGAGAGGGGCAGTCAGAGGATTGGAGCGCAGGTCACTGATGACTAACATTAAATTATAGAAAAATGTTTGTTGTGAAATATAGAATATTTCCCCATAACGACAGAAAATTGAGGTGATATATCAAATTAATGTCTCAAACTCCCATACTCCCAAATAGTTTTTGGACTGTGGAGCTCTGGAGTCAAAAAGTCCTGAATATTCTGCACTCCAAGCAGCTACATATGACAGAAAAGTTGTTTTCAATAGTCGTTCAACAACAGTTTGGGAAATGAGTCGTCACCTCTCTTTAAAAGAGCGACATAAGACGGTCGATACTGCACCACTCTCATGTCAGCACTTAGAAAAGAGTTGATCATCAACAGCTGAGCCGTCTCTCTAAAGTTAGAAAATCATCCATTAAACTGTAAAGCAAGACGTCTCTGTCCGTCTGTGCGGACGACCTTTACTTCCCTTAATTACCGGTCTATTAACAGACACACATTTAAATGGGTGAGACTGAGCAACCCTGAGGGGCTTCATTGGACCTGCAAAGACACTCGTCTGCAATCTACAGTCCCAGATGCTGGAGTGAAGTAGAAAATAGCAGCGTGAGTGTCGAGTGTGGAGACAAGTCAGTACCAGTCCAGGATTTGGGAATCAGCGAGATAATCGATGTCCACCGTAGCTCCGTGTGGATCGACGGCCCTCATAGTTTCACCTCGAGAGACGTTGGCTTCGGGAGGAGAGGAATAGGACAAACTGCCTGTGCAGTCAAGACTTTCAAGAGATGCTGCATCCGGCAGATTCCTAACAATGGCATGTTTCTTATTGTCCCCAAATCGATCCCACGTGGGCCGATATGTTTGGATCTGACTTTAGTTGCATGTCGTACTTCCCTTCTCAGGAACATGTCTTAAGCTGCTTTTTAGAGGCAGGCAAGCAGAGAGAAATGCGGCTCTATTCTCTGCCAGCAAAGGCGTCACCTAAAGGAGCATTTCCAAAAAAGAAAATATTTAAAATGTATTTTCCTTAAAAAAAGATTATGCATGATGTAAAAAAACTATCCAATGATTAAAAAAAAAATTAAAAAAAAAAATTAAATGATAATGATACAATAAGCTAACATAAAGGAGAAGTTGGACAAAACAAATCAAATAGTGAATTTAAATGTATTAATTTTCTTAACCTATTGATGATTTATTTATCATATTTAAATGCATTCGCATGAGTTTGTACTCCTTGACGTGTCACTTCTTCTGTACGTTCCCCCCCCGGCAGGTTGCTGAGGCAGAACAGCGCGCGTTAATCTGCGAGGCTTTGCGCTCGCAGCCTACTGAGTGCAGGGGGGCTGACAGTAAGCCTATTTCACGTAGGGACGAGGGTGCCAAAGGGTCCTGTGCAGTCAGCGCTATCCCACAATGCACAGCGGCGAGGGTATCAGCGGCGACAGGACTTAACCGAGGTGGTGTAGACACGCGACAGGAAAAAAACAACAGTGACTGTGTGTAGAGGAGGGGTGTAGGAAAGTGAGAACGCAAGAAGAAAGGAAAGTGGTCCTCTGTGTCATTGGGAGGACAGTGAAAACTGCCCTGTAATGAGACAACTGTCTGTCCTCCTCCCCTCCCAGGAACCCTGCAGACACCTCAGCCAAGTCAGATGTGACGGGAACAGCTTCTTCGTGTATTAAAACGTCCATCGGACACAACACTCGCCTGTTGTTACGCGATCAAAAGCATGCATACTTACATTGGTGGACTGCACTCTCCGCCAGTGTCCCAGACCACAACAATACATCAAGACATCCAGTTGCAATGGGGAGAGGAGGCGGTCACATGGGTCTCAGGCCGGGGTAACACGCAGGATCCTCACGGCACAGGTGGTCCACCTGATCGGCATCCCCTCGAGAGGCTCCCACACTCACAAAGTCTCTCAGGGGAGGATGTGGCTCCAGCGGCGGGTCCCTCTCGGGGGTCCTCGGGTGAGTTCAGGTGATCCGGACAGCTGACGTCTCACAGCATCCGAAGAGAAGTGCCCGCGCGAGGTCTTCCTGTGTGGCCGCTCGTGTGCTCATGTCAGGAGGACAGGTGGTTCATCAGCCTCGTCTCTGTTCCGACGGTGCATAAACTTCCCTGAAAGCCCCCCTTTCATCTTGAGCCCCCCCGAGTAGTCATGCTCCGAAAGACGGATGTCATGTTCTTCCCAGTAGGTTTCTCTCAGTGCTCCGTAGTCTGTCCCCGTTCATCCAATCACAGTCCTCGCGTCACTCCACATCCAACTTGCCTCTTCTCGTGCAGTGGTTCCACACCGGGAGTCCAGATCTTCAGTTTCTTCTTCCCTCTTTCCGCCTCCTTCAAAAAGAAAAATCGCAGCTCTACGCCTCCTCCTCCTCCTCCTCCTCCACCACCAACCCTATCTCTCCCTCCACCGCGCTGCTCTCCTCTTCCCCGGGTCTTCTCTCACCAGGAGCGTTCCCGCTTACCTGAGTCACTCTTTGCACTCCTGTTGTGACTGTGTGTGTGTGTGTGTGTGTGTGTGTGTGTGTGTGTGTGTGTGTGCGTGTGTGTGTGTGGAGGCTGCAGCTGAAGCGCTCACCCCCTCTTGCTCTCTCCCTCTCTCCCCCGCTCTCTCTCTCTCCCTCTGTTGCCATGCTGGAGCAGGTAACATTCTGCTAGCGCAGGAGACACACAGCCTGAATTCAAATGCGCCTCCAGCTTCACAGATTTACAAAGCCTCCACCCCTCCTGACATCACCCCCCCCCATCTCATCCCCTCATCCCCTCATCACTCGCTCTTTTTCTCCGCATCTCTGTCCACAGTCTGCCCCCCCCCCCGGTGTTGCCTAATTTAGAGTAATCCTCCTCTTTGTTGCCGCACTCTTGTTAGTTCTTCATGTTAAGCAGGAGGCAGCATGACGAGGGAATGTTGAACTGCTAAGATATTTCCCTCTTTCTAAGCTATTTCTGTCCATAATTGAGTTAAAAGCCCTCTTGGCACCAGGGAAGAAGGTCTATGAGAATATTCAAACTGTTTCTAAAATAAATGAACTTGTTTCTATAAGTAGAGATGAAAGTCTGTTATTTATATTTTAAAACTAAATGTGATTTTCTTTCGTGAGATGCAAACAGCCATTTGGTAGAAGAGGCAAACGTTCAAAGTCAACAGATCCCCCAAAGTCATTATATGTCCTCATATAGACGTCTGTACAAAGTGTCACTTCAACCCATCCAACAGACCCTCTTACAGCCAAAGTCATCACGAGTATCCTCGTGTTGGCAGTGGAGAGCACGTTCTGGCCCAACCAAGCTTTTAAAAAGAAAACGTCAATTCAACTCTGACCGCCATTGAATTAACTTACCGTTGCAAGTTCTGTTGTCAGAATCGATTTTTCAGACACATTTCGACAGGATCAAAACGGTTTCAGTGCAACAGGTGTTTGAATTTAACAAGTCGAATGTGTCCGAGGAGGCTCATAGTTAGCACACGCACAAAAAGCTTTTAAAACCTCTTCAAATCGTGTCATGATCACAGTTGTAAGCATCATGTGACCTATGTTACCACCAAAAACATGTATTCTACCCACTGCCTTAGTTAAGAACACTCGGATCTATAGAAAGTCAATTTACTTTGAGGTTTTATTCCTGCTTTCCAGATGATGAAGTTACCCTTATAACTTTCTTGCAGATTGTAGAATGAATCATTGCTGTGGGAAATAAATATATTAGTCAATGTTAATCTCCCAGCTGTGAATTGCAGCTGATTGCCCAGCGTCCCATCACACTGACACTATTGTATCATCAATAACACATTTCACAAATCTTCCCACTTAGTGAGCAGATAGAAATTCACTAGTAACTGATGCCTTTTTTTCTTCAAAATCTGTCTTCACCTTTTGCGTCTGTTACACGTTCAACAGTTTAAAATACTTCAAATATTCTGACGAGCGCCTTGGTGATGTTTTTCATTAGTTGAAATGTATTTTTGTATGTTTCTGTTCCATGAGGTATTCCACCTTAACAGAAGCCCTGAGAGGAAAATCTAAATCTGTCAAGATTAAAGTAGTTTTCTCTCCTGCGTTTGTCTTTGAATGAAATCTCACCTGGAAGAAAACAGAACATGCGCTGGATTTGCACTTTTTATGTAATACAGTATATGCAAAAGATGTCATAGAAAGTAATAACATTAGTAGTAAGTAATATTAATGAAACATTATGAAACAATTAATACTAATATAAATACATTTCATTTGCAGGAAGTTGATTTTGTTTCCATTTCTCCATCCGGCGAAGGACTTTCCCTTCTGAGGAGTGATACTTCATTTCACCCATTGTTGTTATTGAGATGTTGTTATATGTTTTAAACAAAGGATATTTATTAAGCATAATTGATAGTTGATTGAAATAGTTTCCAAGCTTTTGTTTTCCCATGTGTTGTTTTCATCACTTTTTATAATGTGTAATGTACGGATAAAAAACATTAGCAGATAAACCAAGTATCAATAAATACATTTGGATTAAAGAATGTAGTAAAATGACCGCTGAAATACACTGTACACGGTTAAAAAAAAAGAATAATTACTACACGTTTTGGTACGAGCGGCCTTACGACACATTTCAAAGCGCGTTGTTCTTGATCACCTGCACCGTCCGTTTCTGTCGCTGCCTTCACATGAACACACCACCTGTTCGACCATCCACCACCTGTCCGGACCGTTCACTGACAACAGAAGGCGCCCCTCCTCCTCAAAACATGCTCTGCCTCCGGAAAACCCTCAGCCTGGCCAGGAAGGCAAAGTAGACAAAAGTCAGGCTCACCAGCACATTTTTCAAAGGGTACAACACAGGAGTTACAAAACCGAACACGGCGATCAGAGCGACTCGGACGACGCAGAAAGGGACGTCCTGCAGGGCGACTCCGGCCGAGGACGACAGCGGGTTGCGAGGGGTGAAGACCGCGCGCAGGGTGGACAGGAAGGCGAGCGCGTAGACGGGGAACACCCAGGCCGAGTAGAAGACCGCCGGCTCGCCCGCCACTCTCACCATCTCCGCCGTGTCGAGCCAGAACAGGAAGCTGTCCGCGAACACCTCCGCCCGGCCGTCCCTCCTCCACAGGAAGCCCAGAGGGCCCGAGCTGGATCGCCGGCGCGAGGGCGAGGAGTACAGGTAGGCGGTGCCGGGCGCGGGCCGGCCGGGTGCTGGCCGGGCGGGCGCGGCGGCGAGGTCCCGCCATCTGCCCGAGGTGCCGCCATTGGTGGCCTGCGGGGCACTTTGGGTCGAGCCCTTCTGGCCTTCGTCGGCGTGCAGCTGGCCTGTCACGGTGGTCACCGGCTCCAGTTGGGTGAGGACGGGGCCCGGCACGTCCAAGTCAGAATCCAAGCTGTCTGCTGCAAAATGACACATTAATTAAGTTTATTCTCCAGCTAGAAACAACATCATTGGTTGCTGTGATTGTGGTGTATTTTAGATTGTGACATCAAATTATATTTGTAGTTCAACTACACCATAAACCAAGTGCACCAAATGGCCATGAAGGTGAATCAACAGCTTTATTAGACTGCATCAGCTAGTTAGGTCAACCTGGTAACATCCACAGAATGTGTGACAATCTAATTAAACCCACATTTTCTGATGACTATGCTTAGATATTTATGGTGATTTGGGGGCTACTAAAAAAAATATATATATACTGCTTTTCCTACTGTGACAAAATATCTACGGCAGAAAAGCCTTTAACCTTTTACCACACCAAAGACTTCAGGACTTACATCGTCCGATGAGCCTGCAGGAGCGAATCCTCTCCGTGATATCCACACAGATGAGGGAGACCAGCACCAAGGAAACGGGCAACTCGGAGAAGCGGTCGAGCCGGAGCCCTCGGTCCACCTGCACCTGCGGTACAACCAGCAACCGCGTAAAGACGGGGGCGTTCAGTGGCAGATACAACCGACGCGTAGCTCTTAAATCACGAGGGAGGAAAGCGAACCGAAGCTCTTTATTATGTTGTTGGGCTGCACCTGGAACGAGGAGCCAAGTTTTTATGAAGCCGTCCGGTTTTATCACCTCATCATTGTGCTCATTAAGATGCTGCCGAATGCCCCTTAAAACAGGATTAACAACTGGTGGGCCGCGTATCAACACGCCTGACGGGCCTTTGTGCTGTAATTCACGTCCTCGCTCGTCTGTGAGTAAAAGACACCGTGGCAGATTGCTGGCGTGAGTTAATGTCCAACCAGTTATGTTCCTTGTGGGTGACTGAACAACCCCGACGGAGACTACGGTCATGAGACTACAGTCACGAGACAGTGGGCACGTTATGATTGCCACGGTGCCAAAGTCCCCCCCTCAGTGTACTGTGGGAATATATATTAAAGCTTCAAGGAGAATCGGTGAAAAGACTTCTTCATCTTTCTCTGTGGTGCAATGTGCTGCCAACGATCACTCGGGGAACAATAACAGGGCTCCAAACACATTCCCTCACACACGGGGGGACAGGGTCATAAAACAAGCTTGTTCCGCAAATGTGCCTGTTAAAGGGACAAAACATCTCCAACCTCCCACACAGAGGAAAATGAGGCGTGACGGGTCTTTTTTTTAGAGATACGTGCCGGAGAGGCTGAGGGGTGACGTAAAATACACGGAGACACCACATTGTTCTGCGTCGAAGGCCATTTTACACCACGATGTAATGAGAACTTCTCTAAAAACATTACTAAGCATCTCAATATGAAATAATTTTCATTTTAAAACAAGATAATATGTCACTGAGATGATAACCCATCCAACAGACTCTCTTACAGCCAAATAAAAGCAAAATACGGTGTTCATGTGTGGTTTTTATGTTTCATTATATCGCTGGAAAATGACATATAATAGAGTAAAAAAGAACTTCCCGATGACGTTACCTTGGAGCTGGCAATGAAGATGGCAAAGCACGGTAACGTACACAGGATGAGATACGCCAGCGCTGTTGGTCTCCTGAAAGACAAATCAATACACTTTTTTTACTCAGGTCATTTATCTGAACAAAGGACGAGACATCCAACATGACGTAAACAGGCACCGAACTCACTCAGTGATTTAAATTCAAACGTGAAGCAGCGCGGCTGTTTTTATCTCTTATGAACACAGAAGATTCTGCTCATTAAATATAAAAAAAAGATGAGGAATCAAAGCAAACACTCATTCCTTTGACTTGGTCCAGATGTTTCATCCACATCCAGACACTTAATCCGTGACACACTCACCACTGCGTGATCCCGGAGATGAACCGGCGCCTCTTCAGGATCAGATACTTCAGGGGGACCCACACCAGCAGGACCACGGAGGTGACGTAGGCGACGGCCGCCGCCACCACCAGCCAGTAGGCCGTCAGATCCCGTCCTCTCACGTCGCGCACCAGGGCGGCGAACCTCTCCATCACCACCAAGACGGGCACGGCGAGGGCCGCCAACTGCAGCGCTTCGTACAGGACGAGCTTGAGCGTCTTCCCCGACGGCATGGTCCCCCGAGCAGCTGCTGGCGTGAGGCCGGGGCGGCAGACTTTGACCATCAGCTCCCGGGAGCAGCCGGTGGGGCCGGTGGACTCTGCTCACCGACGTCGCTCACGCGGCACCGGGGGCCGTGTTCTTTTACTGGCGAGGTAACGAGGTGGTCACGCTCACCTTTTTATGGGCTCACAAAAGAAGAATTATGGAGAAAGTTAAACGACAGCAGCTTTCTGCAGAACTGCGAAGAAATGTAATGAGAATTAAAATGACTCTTTGTGTGTGTGTGTGTTTTTTTTTTAAACACAAAGATATTGGTGTTTGGCCGCTAAGAAAAAAACTGTTCTTAATTCTTCTGTTGATGAATACAAAAGTGTCTCATTCAGCCTGGTTGGATCTGAGATACACACAGTGTCCATCTAGTGGCGAGGCACAGGACACTTTTATTTATTCTACATTCATCTTACCACCACTTTAAATGTCGTGTTGGCCAAAGACTTCTCCTTGTAAAATGTCAGTGAGCATAAAGGAAATGACTTACGGACTCATGGAAAATCTCTCATGTCAAATAATCAAAGTTCAAAACGGGAACGCCGGTTAAGAAAACGTTTTCAGGGCCTTTTAAAATCCTCAAAAAACGCGTCTCATCATCAGTGAAACACTTTGCAGAATTAAAAAATAACGACGCCAAACCAGCAAATGTAGCTCACGGATCTACAGAGTGCTCGGAAACAAGAGAACGAGCCCATTCACAGTATTCTGTACATTTGGCCTGGTTTTATTGTGAATACCAATTAATAAGTATGGTTAAAAGAATACATACAAACAGCAGGATACAAGTTTAAACGGAACCTTTACAATAATGATGTTTAAAACTTAAAAACAGGCAGCATCTGCATCCCGTGCAGTAACGTTACACGGTGGCTCCAGTCCAGATGTTACATTTGGATGATTTGTGACGATTAAGTAGCTTCTGCCGTCCTTTGCACGTTTGATATCGTCAGCCCTCTTTGATCAGACAGATTAATACTATTTCACGCATGTATTTAATTGAGAGCAGCAGAAATCAGCTTTTTTAATGCTGCGCACACGAGAGCACGACTGATAACCAAAACACACAACTATCAAATCAATACACCAATTTGTTCTGCAAGCGGAACACGTAGTCATAATTCCTTCATGTAGCATCATTCAATATTAAACAGATAAATAAAGTTACTTGTTTCGGCATCCGTCGGTGCATCGGACATCGACTCCTCGCACACGCAGAGGAGAATGGAAAGTTACGGTGTGGGCGGTACATTCGTACAATACTTGATATTAAAGTGACTCTGTAACAAAAGGGAGCTGTGTATTAATCCCGACTGTGCGTTCCAGAATCACAAGAGCTCACTTCAGTCCAGCTTCAGGTAGGAGTTGTTTTAGCGTTAGAGAGGAGAGGAGGAAAAGGACCGGTTTGAAATGCTTGGGGAGGTTCGATCAGTTCTTCACATTACCGTTTGACCCTACAGTACAAGGAGCATGTACAAAAACACTGAGCAGTGTCCTCGTGTGAGCTATTTAAATACACAACTACGTTAGGTGGAGCGTCACGCGGTCCGCTTCTCTCGGAGTACATACACTGCTTCTCCAGTTAAAATATCATAACAATTATCGGAAACATCAAATTAAAACGCACTACAAAAAAAAATTAAAACACTTGAGTAAAGAGATGTTTTCAAAGCCACCGAGGCGGATCAGAGAGCTCGCCTCTGAGGAGCCGAGGCTGTTGGTACGAGCCACTGAATGCAGACGGAGAAAACACCGAACCCACCAACAAGGACCTACAGCTGCTCCTCTGCAGAACAAAGTTCAGAGTCAACAACAACAACAAAAAAAAAAAAGTTCTTTTCCGGTGTGTTTTTTTTTCCTTCTTTCTTCCACACCTTCAGTTCAGCAGGTACATCACGACGGAGTTCGGCTGTGCTAACATGCGGCCCACCTATGAGGTCGTCGTGTGGCTCCACTACTGCTTCACTATATACAAGAGTCATGTGCGTGCTTCAATTCCTCCCGTTTCTTTTCTCATCTCACAAAAAGGAAAGTGGCGTCAGTTTTCAGTACTTCTAAAAGTTGCCGACATATACAGAATCGAGTAAGTAAAAGTAAGCTTTTACCGATGTTAGACACTTTAGCATCGCTAAGAGATTGCAAAAAAACAAAAAGGATGTTGACGCCCGTTTTCTGTGACACGCATGCAATACGGTTGCATGAGATGTGTGACAAAGCTGCGGCGTTTAAGTGTGTCCGTGAAGGTAAATGACCATATACTCCCAAAGATGTGTGTCCGCTACTGTACACCTGCCTGTAGTGTGTCTGTGTGTGCGTATGTGTGTGTGTGTGCGCTTAGCTCCAGTGTGCATGTTGAGGACGAATGCGTTTCACACCACCAAAGTAACTCGGACACTTAAAATACAACAGAACCCTCGATGGTCCTAATGATAACTTGAGGGGAATACATGTCCGGCCCGGTACGTTAAACCGGACAATGAGTATTGCCATCAGATCCACATTTGGAAGTGATCAGGGCGTGAATGACGACCTAAACGTAACTAAGTGCAGCTGTAGATGTAAGTGGACTGAAAGCTCCTCCGTGTCTTCACATGTGAGTCATATAAAAAGGGATTTGAGAAGAAGATTGAAAATGCAGGAACACAAGTAATTGAAAGAACACAGTGTGTCTCTGTTTTCCAGACTGTGTGCGTCTGCACAACGTGTGAGCTCTTCGATCGAAGCCTCGCGATCACCAAACCTGCAGTGAGATGTGCGACTGTGTAGTTAGTTAAGTGAATGTTGTCTGAATGTTTTCATCCACACAAATCAAAAACACAGAACAAGAGAAACGATTCTACCGCCACTATTTGATGGGGCCTGGTGCACGTGTGCACGTGTGCATGTGTGCGCGTGTGTGTGTGTGTGTGTGTGTGTGTGTGTGTGTGTGTGTGTGTGTGAGAGAGAGGAGAGGGGAGCTCGGGGCCCTATAGCAAGGCTTTCTCTGGGTACGGGGCGTCACATGAAGGTGCTATACTCGGGCCGGAGGGGGCGCTGTAGTTCGGTGTCTGAGTGAGGCCCGGGGCCGGGCCGGGCCCGCCGGCTGGGTTCTGGTAGGAGTGCGGGTCGGCCGGGCCCAGGCTGCCCGGAGCTGTGGTGTAGACGGGCGGCTGGCCCAGGTACATGTGAACGTCACTAGGAAACAGAACGAAGCAACCTCAGCCACAGCGAGAAGGAGGGACTCGTGATGTGCAGAGGGAAGGGTTGTGGGTCTCACCTGGGAGCTGGCTGACCAGGTATGGGGGTTCCAGCTGGGAGCTGCTCCATGGCAACAGTGTAACCCGGCACCGCGGTGTACGGACCTGATGCCGGCTGGCCGGGGAACACCTGAGGCCGCAAAGGACAAATGGCGAGTGTTACCGACAGAGGAAAATCTGAGGACGAAAGCACCTGGGGAGGGGACATTTGCCTGGACGGTCTAAAATGTGACAAATCTACAAAGAATCAGGAGAATATAAAAAACAATTCAATTCTCCTCCCATAATGAAGTTCAGACAAGTATCACGGAGAAATAGCAGGTAGCTTATCAATGTCTAAATAAAACAATCTTAATCCTGGTTTCTCACTAGGATGCAAGTTTAGACAGTATGCATCCCGTTATATTTAAACTTCCTGTAAGTGGACAGTGATTTGAAAATTACATTTAATATCATCAAGATCGTTCTGGTATAATTCATGAGGTTTGAGATACCAACTGTACCAATTCAAAGACCTCATTATCAAAGGTTTCCATCTTTTTGTGCAAACCAAACATGTGACACTTTTTAAGATTAAGACAATTGTGCACATACAAAATTTAGCTTGGACTCGAAACCCTTCAGTCATCCACTCATCCTTAAGCTTCCTCTTGTGTTAGCGTTCTCTTACCATCTCTTATGTTAACGTCAGCTCTCCTGGTTACCTTGTTAGGCTTCCTGATCCATGAAAATATCGATTCTACTCTCTTTGGTGTGTTTCATGGTGTTTTTTTTGTTTGTTTGTGTGCAGGTATACTGGATAACAAGGCACAGTGAGAAGCCCTTAAAGGTCACATGATTGGGAGAGGAGCTGGCTGACTGGCACTTATGATTCCAGTTTGGGCTCTAATTATTAGAACTGAGTCAAATAGAAGTTCACGACAAAGTCAAAAATAAACAAATACATTTATGTGGTTCATCATGCATTTAAAACCTAAAACGTGTCGGTGCCGACACGAACAAAGAAGAAAAGAAAAAAAAGTGACGTAAGTCACTGCACCTGTTGTGGTACGTTAGCGGGTTGCTGCATGTAGTACTGTTGACTCTGTAGCTTGGCATACATGGCGTAGACTGGATCCTCATTCATTAGCTTGGCATACAAAGACAAAGCTTCCATCAACTTCACATTCAGGTCCGACAGCTCGGAGTGCTTCCTGAAGATACAAAAAAGAATAACTTTAAGGTTTTCTCCAAAAATAATATACAGATTGCTTGAATCATTTGCGTATGCAAAATGCAACGTACCGGTCTATATCCTCCAACTTCTGGTCAATGAGGGGCCCCATTTGATTGCAGGCACCTGATTTAAATACAAATAGCTACAGATTTTGTCTGCATCGGACTTACAGTCACACAAGCATCAACCAGGGGTTTGGTTTACCTTCCAGCTGGAGCAACTCCACGCTGTCCGACTGGTTGTCCGTGGGGTCCGCACTCTGGATCATCTGCAGTAGCTGGTCCATCTTGTCCTGGAGGATTCCAACAATCATGTGATGACACTTTCAAAGATACGCGCGCTGAGCGAATCTCTTCTATTTTCTTAAATAGCGTCGACACGAGGGAACTTACTTCGTCTATGAAGACAGGCTCTTGTTCGGGTTCTATGGTCTCCACCTGGACATCCTCACTGAACTGCACAGTCTTCTTCTCGGTCTTCACTGTAGATTTGACAGTAACAGCAAATACGTTAGCAGCAAGACAAGGAAACAACAATGTAACAACACGACAAACCTGCAGTGAAACGGTTGTGTGCCATCAAGTACGTGAATCCCTTTCAAAAGCGTTTTTTAGAACTGAAATAAGGAGCTGAATTGTCCTGTGGGACCACATCTGACAGGACACACACGGGCAGCAGTGAAGGAGATGTCAGTTGTGAAGTGAATTAAAAAGAGCATGAGCACATTTTTAAGACATAGAAGTAGTAAATGAATGGCTCACAAAATAAAAAGTAATTGCGTATAAATGACAGGGAAGGAAATGTAAAGAGTTATATAAAGATCTCACTAAGAAGAGGAAACCTGTCCAAAAGACTATTGGAGAAATGTCTTTTTGTGGGTGACCAATGTCTTCTCTGCACTGTTTGACCTGCTGTGCGCGAGTTAAGTTATAAATCTCCCACTGCAGGATCAATAAAGCAATATTGCCAGTGGACTGAATGCCTTGAATGTCCGATCAGAGAACTAGGGACACAATGTACTCACTCATCTCAGGCTCTGCGGTGAGGTCAGCTGTGACAAAGTTAGAGGGGAACAAGCCCACTCCCTGGTATGTTTCGCCTTTCCACCAGTTGGGGTCACTGAAAGAAAACACAAAAAAAGAAAGTGATCGAACAACAGATTTTAATTGTTGTGGTCTCAGTGCTGCATCTCAGTGGCTTAGTTTGGATTTCCCAGATTCTGTTAAACGTCAGAATATCACGCAGCTCAGAAGAACACCTCTCAGTCACGTGACAAACCTCCATCTTTCCCCCACTCACGGTTTGTGTGCTTAAAAATTCACCTATCGTCCAGGATAGTGATGATTTCCCCCGACTTGAAGGTGAGCTCGTTGTCCTCCGCGGCCTCAAAGTCATAGATGGCGCGGACTTTCCTGCCGTCGGACTTGTGCGAGGAGAGCAGCCCGGAGGTGTTCGGGTAAAGGCCCGACAGGGAGGTCTGCGGCTGCTGGCGCTGCTCCTTCAGAGACAGCTCGATGGCTGCACACAAGAGACACAAAAATCAGGCCTCTGCTCTAAATTGCATGATATATTTTTAAGGCTCAAACCTTCTATAAACCCTTCGGAGTATTCAACCCGGAGTATTTTTTTTTTTGTGGAATTTCTGCTAGTGTCTTTACCTTTGGCCAGATCTTCTTCTTCTTTTTTGTTTGTGGAGGTGGAGGGATCCTTTGCCACTAAAGCAGGACTTGCTTTCGCTTGCTCTGCAGCCTGTGGAAAAAAGAAACTATAATTACATGTTCATTTGAATCAACAACTAGAAGAATAAAAGGATAAACATTGTGTGTCTCAATGTTTAAGCCAATCAAACACAAATTGCATAATTATATGAACCCCATTTTGTTGGATCATTTTCTAGCGTTTCGCCTGTATTAGGCAGTTAAATATGGGAAGAGAAGAGTACGACATGTCACAGAAACGTTTGAAAAGAACAATGTTGCAGCTGTATGGTACGGATCTGACTCACCACCGTAAATAAAGACATTTAAATATGTACCTTTTGCATAGGATATGCTAAAATTACACTCGATACACCTACCTGGGACCCGACAGCTGGGAAAGTAACACCCTGCTCGCGTAGATTCTTGATCATTGCTGAGATCAGACTGAGTTGTGGATCGTTGCGGAAGTCCTCAGCCCACTCCACCATCAGGGCTTTCAGCTTCTCGCACACTTTGGGGTGTCCCTGGGGACAATCATGCAAAAGGCACCTCATCAGAATGAGGGAAGGTAATGCAGCAAGACGAAAAACAAAACGATCACATCACAAACCTTGTTGAGGACGTTGCTGACTTCACTGGCAAACTCTCTGGAGCACACCTCCAGGTGGAATATCTTCCCACAGTTTGAGACACATGCACCAAGCAGCTGTGAGGAGGAAGGCACAAACGGTTCATCAAACTTATTATTTAATCCATGCAGCACTTATTAGAATGGAACTTGTCCCAGAGGGAAGTCAGTCGTAACAACGTGTCAACAGTCTGCTTACGGTCAGGGCCTGCATGGCCACATGAGGATCCTTATGGTTCACTCGTCTCATTATGGAGCGGAGACATTCTTTAGGCCTGCAACACAAGTGTACAAATCAAAAAGGTTGTGGAGATGAACCTAAGGTAGCCAAATGTATCGTAGATAGCTCCATGTGCACCTGGTCCCCATCTCCGCCTCTGGGTTTCTGGTGTTATTGGATTGAAAAAACTAAATGCGTTTGTGTGTCTGGTTTAGTATCTAGACGGTACACTTACCCAGTGCGTGACTGCCCTATCTTATCACAAATATCCAGAATGAGGCCCCAGTCCTCAGCAGTGTTCATCTCACTGGTCGCTTTCTCTGCAGGAAAGAAGCAAAAAACAACAGACATGAAATAGCAAAATCACTTTTCAGGATTTGCTGGCTGTAGAGGCAGAGGAGAGGAGGAGAGGTGGAGATCCTCCTGAGATCAGAGATAGCTTCTTGAAACAAGAAATGTATTTAAGCTAAACACTGAAAAGAAATAACCGGGAAACCGAAAACATAGTCACAGGTTGAGTTAGATAAAGTGAAATGAAAATATAAAGTTGCTGTACAACTTTTTACTGTTGTTGCTATTCAATTACATTTTGTTTTGTTCTTTTCTTTCAAACAGTATTTAATGTGCAGAATGAGCCCCTCATAAAGTGGCCTTTTTAATCAGGTTATCAATTCACACATTATCACCTCTGTTCTATAGGTTGTCTTTCTATCGTGTTGCATCGAAACCCATGCAGATATCTGCGTGTTTTTCTTTGACAACAAACTGCACCTTTTTTATCGGCTTTATCTACTCAATGAAAATGCTGCAAAAAGAGTACTCACAAGTTATTATTTTACAAATACTGTAATAGGATGATATTATTGACATCATTAACTCCTGCTCAGAAGAAGGTGATCGCCAGCACGAATGCACAGAGAACAAGGCGCCTAATAATAACCTCTCAAGCTGAAATACCACCCGAGATTCCAAATATAACAATACGTCAGCTAACGTTCCCCCAGCCATCGGATGAGTGCCCCATGTTCCCCCAACAGTTATCCTGAAGAAATACAATCTCGACCGAAATACAGGCATGTTAGAGGGCAATTGGTGACTTCTAACAAACTCTGCTAGACGTTAGCAACGCGCATGTTGCTTGTACCTCACAGCTAAATCTACACATAACGACAATATGAGGGTGCAAGCTAGTTAGCCACCTGTGCTCCTCGGCTAAGAGAGCTAATCACAACAAACCAGGCAGACGTGGGTAAACACGGACCGCAGCATGCCAGTTAACGTAAACACGACAGCAGATTAGCACTATTACAAAATATACTGAGGGTTTAGTTTTAAATAACGCACAGCTATTATAATACAAATAAAACAGAGCTGTATTATGGAAGCTAATTTAGATAGCCTGCTACAAACAGCCTCCAGGTTACTCACCAACATCTTGGTCGAATGGGTTCGTCGTGAAGAGAGGCATCGCTGCGGTATTGACACAGATGTTCGCCTTCCCCTGGTAGTCCCGTTCCCCTTTTTTGTGTTATTTCAGACAATTAACACGCATAGTAACGACAGCATCAATGTCAAATGCAGCTGGCTGGTTGTGTTCTACACAGTCACTCCTTCGCCAGACGGCAACAAGCGAGGCATTCTGGGTAATCGAGGGAGACAGTGGCGTGTTGAATCGACTGTTGTCACCAACTCGAATTTATAAAATACTCACACAGATGTTAACGCGCGGGCACTCACGGTAAATTAGAGAAAATGGAGCATAAGCTACGGATTGCTCTAAAACAAAAAACCCTTTAGCCGTCAGGTGATTCTGATCACGTGACGCCGGCTCATCGTGTTGACCCTGCGCTGACCACAAAATCTTCTTAACCACATGCACTCTCCAATTAGGCTTAATCTTTGGTTACGTTGCAACTATAATGTGTGCGTTTGTGTATATGTCACTTGTTTGTCATCAACCAGTAGTTAATGAAATACCTGTTTTCTAAAACATTACTTCTGCACAACCTATAAACTGTATACGGTCATCTTAACATGAATATCTGCACATAACCTTACTGTGTGTGTGTGTGTGTGTGTGTGTGTGTGTGTGTGTGTGTGTGTTATTAAGCAAACTCACTTTAATTTACAATACAGTCAAAATTAAGTGTGAGATTGTCATATGTATATTAGTTTTAAAACTCTGTTTGTCCCAGATGGAAATAAATGATTTACTACTACATAAAGAACCCTTAAATAAAGTGCTCTCTACACATAATTCCAATTTCATATTACTTCTTCCTCCAACAAAAATGTTAAATCCGTAACTTCCCCAATTGTACAATAACTCTAAAATACATGGAAATTCTATTTTAATCTTGTTCTGACATGTGCATGAGGGATATACGTGATGTAAAAGTAGAGTTTTTCTTTCTTGTTAAGTATTTAAAATTTTCTCTTTGTTCCATATTATCTAAATGCATGTATTATCACATTTCATAGGAGAAAAACTACTGACTCCACACATAGTTTCTTTACCATTTTATTGTGACTTATAGGAACATGTTGTTTTAAGGCAAAATGGGCCTTGAGCAGATTACAAAATTATACTTTGTCCTTAAGGATTATATTAATTGAAAAAGGTTGATCATTCAACAATAACAGATTATGCAAACAATAAACATGTAACAAATTTCACACATTTTAATTGGCATAATGGCTAAATCTGCATATGATGGTTACATTAGAATTTACACATTATTAATGTTTGCATCACGGAATACATACATCATACTGGCAGTGTAAAGTCTAAGAAATGCTGTCCTTAAAACAGCAGCACTGCTCACACTGCATCTGTTTAAAAAAGACATTTGTAGAAAAGTGACATTTCATTTCTTGGTTTCTATTTATTAGAGTTTGCAGTCATTTGCTGATATCAATCAATCAATCAACTTTATTCCAGACACAGAGGTCCATAGAGAATACATACACATAAAAAAAAAAAGTGATAGTGAGCGATTCCTCAAACTCATCTCTAATCACAGTTATGAAGTATTTGACGGTATAAAAATAGTTTACTTTGTGATGATCCTCTGATATAGATTTTTTGAAAGAATGAAAGGCAGCCAAAAATGCAACAATATGAAATTCAATCCCAACAAACTATGTATCTTATGTGAAATATTATTTACAGATACACCTGTACAACGGCGGCTAACTTAGCGGACCTTAGTAAATGAATGTATTCTTCAGTACAAATACCAAAACCAATCAATACAATAGGGGGCTGGTCTGTGCTTGTTCTTTCTTTTTGTTCATACTTGCAAAGTGCCTTTAAGACGAAGACCAGTCCAAGTGTCAGTGATGCTGACGGAGTCCTCTAGTCACCTAGAGCTCCTCCTCATGTCCTTCAGTATCCTCACACCTTCAATCTCAACATCAGCCTCTTCATCATCCCCCCAGAGACAGCTCCGACTGTCATCGGCGGATGCTATAAAACGGGAACTTTCCCTGTGAAGAGAAATGGTACATTTTAGCATCTTCGTGATGTTCTTTCGAGGCTGTTATTTTAAAATGCAACAAAAGCTACGACTTCACATTAAGAGGTACATAGAAAGATTCAGACAAACTTCAGGCCGAAGGGCCGAAAGTATCATCATTGACGTTTCCACGGCAACTGAGTCAGCGCTACAAATGACAAGGTACCCTTTGGAGTAGTACAGATTCAATGACTAAGAACTGCAGCGCTCAGCTGGTTTCAGGATATTCAGAGTCAAATTTCAGATCCTGAGTAGGAACGAATGGTGCCGAGTGCTGAGAGTCAAACTAGGACGTTGATTGCTGGACTTTACTTGGGATTGTTGGCGGTAGGAAGAATATAGAAAACTGCTATGGCTTTAATCCAAAAGATATTTACAAATACACAGAACACGAATCAATCATAAAGGTCTCGTATATTGAAGGAACTGACAGTCAGAGGCACGTTCACAGATGAAACCGATGCGGTCAGTGCAGTAGAAATCATTCCAGCTGGCGTTGTGGATGAGGCCAGCACAGTCCTCGCCGTCTTCATGGCCGTGGGTCCAGTTATCCGGCTGGCCGGGCCTCCACATCCTAAGAGCATGAACAATATGAAGCCTCATACAAGGTGTTTCTTAATTAAATTAAAAGAGGCCTGTTATTTTGGAATAAAATTAAAGTCATGAATCAAGTCAGAAATGTTAAAAAACAATCAGTCCATCTGCGTATTAACAGATTCGTCATGTTAAACCAGTTTGGCAGGTTTACTCACTTGAAAACTGGTAAAGTTCCATCCACCCATTTCCAGACATTTTCCTCCTCCTTGTCAGTAAGGCCGAGCCAGAAATAGCCTTTTCCTGCAATCGCATCTTTCACAAATACCTATGAATAGGGGAGTGAAAGATGTTTGAGTGGAACATCTGTTCACAAAAAACACAATCTACGATTTTAAAATGAGGTGTGTTTAGTTTTTGAAGGAACTATCCGGGTCAAATCTCGCTTACCTGTTCCTCTTTGTTGTTGATAATGAGCATTAGCGATGACATGTTACTGCAAAACTGGTTGGACTCATCAAAGTTGAACCTCTGAGGACCAGAGGAGAAGTAATAGCAGCTGTCTCCAAACCTTCTGAACTCAGCTGGGCAACCTGGAGTTAATTGTTTCCAGAATATTACAAATTCAGAGTAAAATCATACATGTTAAATCTTAATTAGTAAGAAATATACTTAAGCATGGTCTCCCTTAATGTAATCATTTTACACACCAGTCTCTGGAGCATTGGTGACAGGAGGCTGGATTTGCGGGGACCCGGATCCTTGTGGTTTTGGGGGTTGGGATGGTTTGGGGGGCTGAAGTGGTTTGGTAGGTGATGATGGATTGGTGGGTTTTGGTGGTTTGGGGGTTTCTGGGATTGTTTCCTTAGGAAGTGGAGGTGCAGGTGCGGGTATCCCCGGTAGCCCTGGAGGACCAGGAGGGCCGATGGGTCCAACAGGCCCACGAGGTCCATCAAGCCCTGCGGGGCCCGCTGCACCCTCGGGCCCTTGTGGCCCTTGTGGTCCTGTCATCCCTGTCATTCCATCCCTACCAGGAATTCCCGGAGCCCCGGGGTCGCCTTTGTCTCCAGAGTTCCCAGGTCGACCGCCAGACCCTCTCGATCCTTTAGCCCCGAGAAGACCGCGTTCCCCGACTGGCCCCTTTGGACCCGTCACACCTGGTGGTCCAGCAGCACCCTTCTCACCTTTAGGTCCAACCAAGCCTGGCATCCCTTTCTCTCCCTTATCACCCTTTTGTCCTGGCTGACCCATTCCCCCCTGTGGTCCCTTGTCCCCCCTGAAGCCCCTTGGACCTGGTGGACCTAAAACATAAAAATATCCAATGACTTTATCGAAATTCACAGGGGTCTTAAGATGTTTCAAGAAGATCTACTTTGATATGTGTAGTTTAACACAGGAATAGAAGGAAGAGATATGTGTAAATGTAATCGTTATATCTTCAAATCAAGCACGCCTCGTGTTCTCACCCTGCAGGATGGTGAAGTTGGTGATGAGCTGCGAGTGCTTGCTGTCCACCAGCTTCATCTCCTCCATCACCACGGAGAGATTACTGACCTCTTTGTCCAACCGGCCCGACAGCTCGTCCTGCTGTGCCCGCAGCTCTTTGCTATCTGCCATAACCTCCGTCACGCTGTCATTCAGCCCGAGTAACACGTCTGAATGTCGCATCACTGTCTCAGCGCACGACCTCAGGCCGCTCAGGTCGGAGCTGATGGCACCGAGGAGCTGCGAGGCGAAGCTCATGTTTCCTGCGACACGGTCCATCTCATTCTCCTGTCCGTCTAGCCGTAATTCCATTTGATCAAACTTGGATGAGGTTACGTTATCGTGGTCGCGCTGGTGGTCCATCAGCTCGTGCAGACTCTGGCCGTGCTCCTCGGTGAGAGCGGAGGTGTTCTGGATCTGGCTGACTAGTGTGCTGAGCTGAGACCCCAAGTCATCCAGAGCATCTCCATTGGAACGGGCCAGGGCTGAGTTATTGGCTGCCAAAACCTGGAGGTTCTGGACCTTTTCCTTGAGCCACTGTGTGTCAGCTCGGGTCTGACTGGCCGTCTGCTGCAGACCCTGATAGTCATTTTTCAGTTTCTGCACCGCCTGGCCCGCACCTTCCACCGTCTTCTGCAGCGTGCTGAGCAGATCGCGCTGCTGGGACTGGGTGAGGTTTAGCGCGCTGATACTCACCTGGGTCTGGCGCTGCACTTTGACCTGGCCCTGTAACTCTGACTGGAGCCTTGCAGTGTAATTCTGGAGGTTGTCAATCATGCCACTGTAGGAAATCAAGGTCTTGTTGACCCCACGCAATGAGGCCTGGTTGCCTTGCATAAAGCTCTGCAGAGACACGTGGCCGTTCTGCATGTCATCCCCTGTGATCTGAAGCCCGTCCAGTAAATCCCTGTTCCTGGTTGTCCTGAGGGCAATATCGTTCAGCTGCTTCTGTAATGCTTCTAGATCTGACTTGAAGGTCTTGATGCTACTTGTGGCATTTATTGACTTATCTCCTGTTTGATCATCTGAAAAGGTGACCCACACAAAAATATGATAATATAACGCTGAAGAAAACTAAAACCCAGTGAAATGCAGTCAAAAAGTACCGCATTTATTTTAATTTAAATTTTTATTTCATGTACTTTCATGTAAATATTGTAATTTAATTTTAATTAAAACATTTCCAGAAAGAATTTCAATACACAGGGCGTGTGTAATTGACGGTTGATTTGACGGCTAATGTTATGCTTGTGAGACTTACCTAATTTCTTTAGGTCCGTCTCCACAGCATTGATCTTTCCTCCAAATTTCTGCATGCCTTCTGCAACATTGTCCATTCTCTGGACCACTGATAAAAGAGGAACCACGAGGAATGATCAGGTATTTACAGTAGTTATGTTACTCAAACATTATTGTAATAATAGATAGAAGATGGATACATAGATTTCTTTAGAATAAAACCGTATAATCTTATAATACCATAATACCTTATCTGCCACTTATACATAAATATCACACCTTGTCATAGAAAACAAATATTCCCAAGTCAAACTGATTGTGGACAACAGAGGGTGCTGCAAGTATTCTTTTCCCTCCAGTAAATAACTTCAAACTCAAACAACAATTTTGAGTTTCCCAGGTGTTAATCGTGCAACTGTGTACATTTACAATATCAACTTCAGGAGTACAAACAATGTCCAACACAGGAGTAACAGCACACAAGTACTCTGACTCTGGCTCCACTACGTCTACCCCACATCTGCAACGAGAGTCCATCTCCTTTCCTCCCCCGTTTGTTTTGCTTTCAGTATGTGAGAGAACTGGAAAACATTCCGGCTTCCACTGTTTTCATTCCAGAAGTGACAAAAACACCAAACAATAACATGCACAAACAAAACAAAAACTAACGGACCTGGTTTTAAAGAGTCGATTGTCTCTTTCCCTTGAAATGCTGTGGCTGATACTGAATTTGTTGGCTGCTATCCCACAGTCCTGTGTTGGGAAGCGCTACAAGGGTACACAAGGTTGTTAAGTTGCGTTGGACTCATTGGCTGCCTAGCGTCAAGTTAAGAGCCATTCTTAGGCAGTTTTCCAACACGAGGCACAGCAGACTGAAGCTGGACGATGCTGCAGGAGCACAAACGCAGTGACGGAGCAGCGACGATGTTAACGAGGGCAGAAAGCTGCATTTATGTTTGCTGGTAAACGGCTCTGTGTGCTGTTTAAGTCGTGCAGGGAGGGGAAACAACACTACGCACAGAAAGCAGCCATCAACGCATGTCTTGCAAACTATTTTAGACACTTGCAGGTTATTTGTGAGTCAACCTGTGGTTCATGAGACAACAAATTGCTACCAAGCCATAAAATCTCCTGCGGGTTGTTAAGTTAAGTCCCTGCACGCTCATCTGGTAGACATTAGAGCAGAACCACCGAAATCACACGGGCTTCACGCAAACACAGAGCCAACGCTGGGAGCTCCGGAGCACCCTGAGAGCACTTAGAGGCGCAGACCAAACCTCGATCAAACCTCGTGCAGCAGGTTGGACACTGTGATTTCTGCTAGTGGATGTTTTGAGGTTTTAGAACCTCAGAATGAGACTGAATGATGCACAAGTGCATTCCACATTGATGGAAGCTGAGATGTTCCTTTCTGTTTCTATTCAATAGGGGAGGGGGGGGGGACAATGGACAATGTTGCTCAACAACATTGTTTCCAATCTGGAGCCAAAGTCCAAAAGATGTCATTTCAGCACTGTGTTCTGTCTCTTCAAGTGATTTAGTTCTCCATTCTGTTGCTGTAATACGACCCTTTGACTCTCAGCAAACCTCAAGGAAAAGAATTGCACATGAGGGGGCAGGAGTTGGGGGAGGAGGGGGATATATAAATAGTTTGAACCACACATGCTATCCTTCATTGATGTATAAACTGCACAATTGAAGATTTTCTATCTTCTTAAGAACTTTTGCATAAAAAATAATTTAGGAAGATCAATTGAATTGTGAAACACACAGTCATTATTAAACGTATTTTTCTGCCATGTGTCCACAGCTTTGAGGCCTGCTTTGGAGGGGAAACGACGTGGCAGAAACGTGCCTTGGACATACCTTTGTATCCCAGGACGGCCACCGCGATGGTGAGCAGCGCGCAGAGCACGTAGAGCAGAGCAATGGCCGCCCTCAGCGCCCAGTCATTTTTGCACTTTGTGCACTCGGAACCCTCCTGAATTCCTACAACGCACAACAGAATTCGAGTTAGAAACTGGTGTGGAGCATTCAGTAGTTATGTGCAGTAGTAGCTTAAGTGGTGTGCAGCAGGGAGTTAATGAGAATAAATCCCCAAAATTGGAACTTGTTTTTTATTTCATTACTAAGTGTAGTACTCCGTGTCTCAGGCGGGACAGCCTGTGCCTTCCTTCATCCAAGTATCAATTGAAAACATTTGGCCCCATGAATAAATGACTCAATGTGAAACTTTGAACAGGCCGCACACGTGTGTGCCATACGACGCAGAAAGCCAGAGGAAGCAGTGCGACTCCGCTTTGTGCGTCGTTCCTCGTTGCCATTCGACCTTAAACCACAGTGCGGAGACATCTTTGGCCGTTCACGTCACAGATGTTTGCTCGTCTTAACCCTTCTTTTCAAAGAAGAACCAACACCAACATTATACTACAGGCAGGATGTTTACTTGACTTCATTAGAAACGGAGTATGTGGCCTCTGGCCAGCAAAGGGAGAAGGCAGCTGGGGCTTCACAACAGGCAATAAAGAACTTTGGGTTGATGGAACACGACTTAAATCATGTTATAGAGGGACATGCAACACTTTGTCAGACACAAAGGCTGTAAAAAAAAACTTTTATTCTGAAGAGTGTGATAAGTGTAAATCGCTATACTCAGAAAGTTGGAAACAGCAAAGACTAACAACTTTTAACCAACCCACAGCCAGCTCCGTCCCCGTTTAATAAACTCTCAATAAATCAGACATCAGCATGTTTTAACCAATAAGAGGCGACTCCGTGCGTATGATGGAAAATGTACATCACCTGACGGATTCTCTTGTTCGGGCTCCTTGGAGGGAGCAGACAAAGTCAAACTTAAAGGGACAGTGTGTAGGACTTGGTGGGTTCAGATTTAAACCACCTGAGTACTGGTGGTCCGGGCTCAGCCCTCCCTTTTCCAAGCCGAGTGCAAAACACTGGCAATGCTGAAATAACGCTACTACCTACCAATCCGTCTGATCACTTGACGGCTCGTGCACCACTTTGCGTTGATTTTATGGCCCTTCGTGTCACTTCAGACTTCCATGAGGTCCGTCTCCGTCAGTCCAGACTGTTAAACCACGAGAGGCTCCGTCCTTCCCTGTCAGAGGGGTACTGGACCCACACATCTGTGCAAACATCACGTCGGACCACTTCTTGGGGGCCCACCTCTGGACCCCCAGCACGGGTGTGCAGGCCGCTGTTGTTCTTGTGTGCGCCGAGAGCCTCGTGTTGGGAGCCAGAGAGCCCCACCGGAGGAACCCACCCAACCCCACCCTGACCTGACCCAACACGGAACCGTTTAAACAAGCAGCGGGCCGCCCTCGGGTTCTGGGTCTAAAGTAAAGCGGGCGGTGGGGCACCTGGGGGGTGTTTCTGTGGGCCCCTCTTGTATTTTCAGGGTCAATGAATTCCAAATACTTTCTTATATTTCCACTCCACATCGTTCAATAATGAGCTTACCTACAAAGCGCTCACTACTAACATAAAACAACAGATCGCATTGAGGACTGGACTCATTTTGATATCCATGTTTTTCAAGGAAAACAGATATCTGGTTCTGCTGCGTTTAGTTTAGAAAACATTTCACTGTAAATCTGACATTTTCGAGGCATGAAAACGTCTGTGTGAGGTTGGCAGCATTGGAAAAAGCTCCAAAGCCCTTTTCTAACTTGGAACATTTGAGTGTAAAAGCTATTTGTTAATTACAGGAAAAGGTTTGTGTATAATGGTAAAGTCAAAAGCAGGACTTTTAACTTTAAAGTTTCCAGGGTAAACAACATCACGCAGTGTTTGGTCGAGCCGGGACAGGTTTCCAGCCCAGACTGTCTCTTCTTCTCAGATCCAGGACGTTTTCCAGTGGGTATTTATTAGTATTAGTATTAGTATTAGTACTTTATTAGTATTAGATGTGGGCCAAATGGTTCTTTGACGGCCGGCTTTGTCATAATTGTATCATCACAGGGTGATAAATATATGTTAATGAAATAATCACAGTAAACTATAGCAAACATTAGTGTAACCTAGAATGCTACAGGAAAGTCAAAAAGCATCATCTACGATCATGAGAGGAACACTTTGATTGGAGAAAGTCTTGTTTGCGTGTGCTGCTTCCTCGGCTTTGTGTTACAGAACCCCGTGATTCACCTCGCTGCCGTGTTTCGCGTTCACGCGACGCAGCAGTGAAACACTTAGATGTCCCGAGCAGGCTGAAAACACGTTGTTTGGCTAAACGTCCCGCTGCAGAACACATGGGGACTCGGCCTGTCCAGAGTTAAGCTGCTGGACGGAAGCCAGAACGTCCCGATCGACGGGCTGGAATCCAGCCGGAGTTTCCCCGAGACGTACACAAATACCTCCGCAGTGTAGAAAGATTCAAGGTTACATAAAGAACACTACTTTTGAAGCCACTCTTTCAATAAAGGGTTGACTTTGTCCATTGGACATTTCTCAACGACTGAATAGATCAACATTTATTCAGCTAGAGACATTCGTGGGTCCAATGATGAACCGTAATGACTGTGGTGTCCCTCCCACTTTTTGCAGCACCACCAGCAGTTCACTTATCCAATAAAACATCTAAATACTCAAATGCAAAAAGACTAAACTATATTGTGAGTTTAGAAGATTAGCAGAAAAAGTGAGCTTATACAAGTATTTAACTCAAAGGAGCGGTGAAGTTCACGGACTCAATAGTCTTGATGGAATATAACAGTATTTTGAGGATTCAGCTCCAACATAGATGTCTGGAACATGCTGGAATGTATCTGACCAGAAAAAACAAATAACTCTAAATCCTAAAGAAGGAATTACGGCCAGTTGTGGTGAAACTGTGTTGCTGTAAATTAGCTCCCTGCTGGAAAACTGATGAAGTGAGGGCCGAGAAACAGCTACAACTGAAAAAAGAGGCGAGCGAGAGGAAGATGGAGGCCGTCCAGACGGGTGTCTGCAAAACAGCTGTATTTCATTTGGCCTCCGAGTCAGTCAGAGAAAATAAAAACTCTCAACACTCGTTCCCTTATTCTGTGTACCTGCCATGAGACCAGCCTGCATGCCCAGTTTCACTCCCGCCCGGCAGCGGAAAGTTCCACGGCAACACAAAGAAAGCCTGTCGAGGGCGCAGCCTGTTTGTGTGGAGCCCGCTGTCACCGCGTTCTATGCAGAACCCGGGGGGGCCACTGCAGCCGGATGTGGTCACACACACACACACACACACACACACGCTGAGCCTCGCCACTCCACCTGGATGCAGTCTGACGGATTGCAATGCTGGACTCACATTTCCAAAAGGAACATTTACTCTACTGTCTGTCTGTCAAAAGACTGAAATTATATCAATTGTGGTTGAACTTACAGTTTGAAATTTCAAAAAATCGACCTTACTGAAACAATTGTGTTTGTTTTTGGGGTTCCCGAATTGCTGAGCTCGCTGGTAACCGGTCCATGACACTTTCAATCAGGCCCTTGTCCTTTGTAACATCTGGACCTTGTTACAGTAGAGCCAAATCAAAGGACGCACGCACACAGTGTGTACATAAATCCCCCCTTGTGCCGAGCGTCAGGAGAATAAAAGGGCTGCGGATTATTCTTACTTTGCCTCCCGCAGGCTATTTTTGGTGTTTTTACAAGAACTCTTTTCTCCGTGGCGCTCGTGATGAGGGAAGGAGATCGCAGGTTTACAGCCAGCAGAGATGTGCATGTGGGGTCGTTAAAGGTAAAATAACATATGGATTACAGAACGTCTGAGCAGCATGAGATGCCCTAAATACACGCACACGACACACACAGCTGCCTGAAGCTGAAAGAAGGTCCAACCCGCGCACTTCAACGTAAACACCAGTCTGGGACATGCAGCACAATCCGGGCCTGCGTCTCTGGAAAATATCCCCTCCTGCATGCTACAATCCCTCGAGTCGTACACTACGCAGCCTACTGTAAGACACGCTTAGAGATTGTACGGAGATGATGAGGACGGGGACATTTGCCGTAGAGACACAGGACCTTTGGTGGAATGAGAGGATTCTGTGTTTACATCCACGAGGCTTTGTCTGCAAATTGTCCCAGTTGATGGATGATGTTTGCCTTAGTTTGTGTTCCTCCTGATGTAAATATTACAAAGAAAAAGCACTCAAGTCATGCACTGTTTTGCTCTTTATGTGTTGCAAATGGGCTGCAACTGCATTTTGTTGTACAGTATCTCTCCGGGATGCGTAATTAACATAAATGATGGCGCTTGTTTTTTTACAAGACAGCTAAAAATATTCAACCACCTTCCCCAATCGTTTTCATTCTGTCCCTTCATTTATATATGTTTTCTTTTGCTACTCTACTCCACTGCAATCAGGCCTATTATCACCTGCTCTTTTCGCCGTCTGTGAACAAAGATTACATTTTTCTTGCAGTTTATGTAACTAAGTCCCACAACCCGAGCATGCGCATAGACGATTGGACGATTTGTGCAACAAAAGAGTGAAACATTTGGAAATAATCCACTGACAGAAGCGTGCAAAGGGAGAAAAATGGCATCATTCAGTGAAATAGAGTTCACTGTTGAGGGAAAACTTAATAGTGCTGACTGCTGTTTTTCAAAGTGCTACAAGGCACAAACAGCCCAACAGTTAGATGGACGATTAAACACGGATTCCGATCAAATGGAGCAGTCAACTTGGAGCTGATTAGATCGGGTTTTGTCACCCCATCTGTGCTTGGTTAGGAGAAGACAGACTGGGACAAATGCGTCCTGCGTCGTAATCCCAAGAGACAGGCTGTCGGTCGAGCGAGCGTGCGTGCCTCATAAACAAAGCTGCGCGGCCATTATGTTAGCGATTCTTGGCGGGGCAGGATTGGATGTCAAAAAGCTCGGTCTGCCAGTCAGCAGTTTCCATCAAAGACTTAAACCTCGGCACACTGCCTCTGGTCTCACTGTGGACGGGGACATCTGGAGATAAATAGTTGGGAGTCACATCTTTTAT